ATTAATTGCAAACGTTGAACAAAACCGGTGATTATAAAATAATTCGAGATTATTCCTTAGCAAGAATATATTTTAGATTCTGAGTGTAGTGAACAAATTCGACCATAAATCTTACTCAGATATATACACGTGGTACCATTTCTAAAAGGTAATGTTGTCCAGATGGTATTTTTTCAAGCAGTTTTATAATATTTGGAAAAAGCCAGGATAAAATTTAAGAAAAACGGGAAGTGTACAAAAATAATACTTATATTGTTTTTCAATTTTATTATTTGTTGTAATTCAGTCAAAACTATTTTTGGAAATTTGAAATTTGGACAGATCACTTATATTTGCCTTTTATAAAAGTGATACAATTTTCAAAATATTTGAGTTATTTTTAGGTTTTTTATAAAAATGTTAATATTTTTGTTGAAATTTAATTGAAAATATTCATATCGACTCGATGGACTTAAAGTTTGGACAAAAAAATTATATTTACTTTTTCTAGACGTGGTAAAATTTTCAAAAAATTTAAGCTATTTTGAGGTATTTATAAACATTTTAGTTTAAGTCTTACATTGTGGTAAAAAAAAATTGATTTTAATGTAATGTAATTTTTTGTAAGATAATTGTAAAATTAAATTTTGACGAAAAAAATTATGCGGAACATATTTTTATATTAACAATTTTTCAATTTTTTTTTATTGAACAAATTATTAAAGAACGATTATAAAGTCAGAATTAAGCGGACTATCTAAAATTTGAAATTATAGCTTTTTGAAGTTCTGTTATTATGAAAATATATGGTATGGTTAATAATTTTGTATTGTCAAACTTAAATATGTTTGCCATAGTTTAAGGGTAGTATATTCCTATTGACATCCTAGAGATCATGATGTCAAACTCGACTTTTGAAACAAATTTTTTCAATATTTTTGCCCCTATTACTTAAACAAAGAAAAAACAAATGCATTTTGTGTATACCTAGTGACACAAGCTACGTCTCACTTGGACTATTTTTATCGCACAATACCTCTCGATTTGTTGTGCAAACTCTTCTACCAGAAATCTTCCTCCAATATAACAAGTGTACCTTATTTTTCTGAAAGGAAATTTTATCTACATGGTACTTTGGGGAGGTCATTTTTTCATTTTTCAAGCGTTTTTAATAACATTTGAGGGAGGTACTTTAGAGAGATCATTTTTCGATTGTCTCAGTAATTTTCTCAGAAAATGTAAAAAACCAAGATAAAATATGGGAACACCAGGAAGTACATAGGAAAATTGGAAAAATCGGTACAATATAAAACAAATATAATTAAAGAAAATATATAAAGCCTATTTGATTGTTTTTTACTTTAAAATTGCATATATATATATTGTGAACAAAGCCTTCCTATCAACTAATATTCAATCAGATTCGATTTTTCTTAAGCAATGGTTTATCGTTGCTTACGGGTATATATTAAATTATCCATACAGGCTGCACCCGTCACTAGTATCTTACCTTTCTTTTTAAATATATGATGTAGATAAAAAGAGTTAACATATAATTTCTTCCACAATGCCTTTTTTTTGCTATTCAAAGCTTAGTGGGAAAAGCGTTATCCATTTAAATAATATGTATGAATAATTATGCATAAAGTGTTTTTATTAACAGCATTAAATTTGTTTATATATTTTATTTGTGCGTGTGTATTTCAGTGGAAAATCAAAGAAAGTTGTTGATTGTTTGGAAAAAGCCATACCTCTAGCAGCTAGAGGTATGGCTTTTAGCTATAGTCTAGCAAAAACAGAAAAAGAACTATTAGGCATATTTTTATTAAGGAAATTAGCATGGTCTCAATAAGCTGCATTTAAATGTTTGGGAATATCACTGCCCAATATTTTTTGAATTTCAAAAAAAAAAAATTAAAATGTTTATCTCTATTGTGGACAAGATATTATAAGATAAAAAAATATTATTAGTTTTACCTTTTTTAACTTGCTGGTTTTCAATTTATAAAAAAGTACTGTTTTTTTGAGTCTGAGTCTATAAACTATAGTTATAATAACTTTAGATTTATAATATTATCTGGCACATTTTATATGGTTTTGGGAAAAATTATAAGTATAATATATTGATATATTATAATAATTTATTCGAGCTGTACACATTTTTTCAAGTAGTTTTGTTAAAACACACTGTTTTTATTATTATGAGGATTGAACATACTCTGAATACCTATCATTGTATTTAAATTAATATTTGTGAAATATGTTCACATAATTACTTGTTACTTGTGATCATTAATTATTGATGATATAATTTAAATTTTTTAAATTTTACACAGTCGAGCAAGATAAATAATTAACTCTGTTTAGTAAATTTAATAAAATTAATTTAATCGTTTTATTAATAAACTATGTTAAGTTATAAGTTAATTTGAAAATTGAATTAACTTATTAAATTTGATTTTTGTTGTAAAATTGTTTTTGTCATAGTGAAAATAATTAAACTTATTGGGTTTGTGAATTTAGAAAATTAGGATAATTAATGTTAAACATATAGTTTATTCCCGGAATATCAAATTGTACTAAATAAGTATAATATTAAAAGCTCGGAAATCCACACACCTATTGTTGAGTTCAATATATATCACAATAAAAACACTTCGCCTACAGCTACGTGTAAAAAAAATGGCTAAGTGAAATAAAAGTCACTAGTTATTACGTACCTAATATGTTTTTCACACTATGAAGATGTGATATTATTTGTGGTGCTAAATAAAAGTTTTGATTTACTTGGCGAGAGCAAATAAAATCTAAACAGATGTCATAACAGTATTTAAGAAGATGTAAAGTAATTTAAGTATTTATTTGTTTATTTAAACATATTTATACAGCATTATAATAATAAAATAATTAGTAAATTGTACAACTTTCATCTCTATTTGCTATTATAGTTGTTTAGGAAATCTATTATGAAATTTTATTTGTTCTTGCCAAGTAAATCGAAAATGTTACTAAGCACCACAAATGACATCATAACTTTATGATGCTGAACACTTACGAGGTACGTAATAACTGGTGATTTATTTTTTACTCAGCCTTTTTTTTACACATAACTATGTTTTTGTTGTGATATAACCTCTTTTTTGCGATTAATTTCAATATGATTTCTGGTAGAAAAATTTGCACAATAAATCGAGGGGGTATTGTGTGATAAAAATAGTCCAAGCGAGTTATGGCTTGGGTCTTTAGGTACATACAAAATGCATTTGTTTTTTCCTTGTTCAAGTTAAAGGGGTGAAAAAATTAAAAACATTTGTTTTGAAAGTCGGGTTTGACATCATGATCCCTAGGATGTCAATAGGAATATACTACCCTTAGACTATGACAAACATATTTAAGTTTGACAAAACAAAGTTTTTAACCATAACATATAATATTCGCATAATAGCAGAATTTCAAAAAGCTATAATTTTGAAACTATATCAGTCCGTTCAATTTTTACTTTACCTAAGCTGCCAGTTCCAATTCACTATTTTTTATTTATAGTAAATTTTTACTTGCCTGTTGTTCTGCCACTTGACGGCGGAGTTGTTCGTTAGCATTTTATAATTTAGTTAAAATATTTTGCATTTCTGCGTTGGTCAACAGATCTTACTGCGTAGGTCCGTCCAAGGCTGTATGTGTCATGTGATGGTAGAAACCACCAGTACGCCACCACACACGCTTGTGGCCTACTTAGTATTATTATTATATAAACACTTACCGATTTCCAATGAACGTGGTAAGCATTTTGATGTTATAAAATTACTGAATTCACATTGGTATACCTGCTTTATACCTAATTGTAATGTATACTTATTTTAAAATTCCATGAAAAATGATTGAGAAAACTTTAAAACAATTTTATATCACTAACTATTTGTTCAAACCAAATATATTATTAATGTTATTAATCTTACAATGTATAATATTTTAGTTTATTTTATATTTTAATAGGGGCGGGTCATGTCTATAATAGAAATAGTTGGTCATAGAGGACTTAAGTTCTTATTTCTATAACTTAAAAAATAATAACAATAAAAACCCCAACATTCATACCGTAATTCACAATGGAAATTGGTAAGTTACTATTTTGACTTATTCAAAATTTCTAGGATGACCAATAAAGAGTTAAAAAGTTAATGATTAATTTTGAGTTTTAATTACCTATATTATATTAATTTATTATTATTATTTTTTTATTTTAATATATTAAATTCAAAATCTATACACTATTAGAATACATCATATAGACAGTATTTATTATTCATACTGACTATTGAATAATTTACTCAAAAAATGTATTTGTTTGTCTTATCATAGTATAATATATTTAGCAATGATAATAAAGATTATTTGATTAAATAATTATTCGAATAACTCCCATCTAGTATTTACCACATTAAAGGAGTTATCAAAAAAATGACTTATAGTTTTTTTACTTTTAAATCATTAAACAATCCATATTTTTTTGAATAAAAAGAAACTCATTGGTTTTGTTTACTAAAAAAATTATCAATATACATTTAAGTATTCTATTTTGTTATAAACCTTCAATTATTATTACACCATCTAGTTTAAAATTGAATTTATATTTTATTTTAATTCTACTTAAGCTGTTACACTATACATTTAATAAATTATAGTAGATTTGGTTGTCCACAAAAAGAATGGCTGTTTGACATTAACGAATAAATAAATAATAAAATAATATTTTTAACAGTATTCAAAGGGGTTGTAATAATTTTAATGCACCCTTGTCAATAATTAGAGATCACATTTATTTAACAATAGAATAGAATAATTTTAATATTATAATAAATAATTATTTATAATAAATAAAATAATTACCAAATAATTTGTTACTATCCTGACAGTACTTTTAAACAAATTAAAAACCAGCAAGTTAATAAAAGACAAAACTAATAATATCTTGTCCATAAAATAGAAAAAACTTTAAATTTTTTAAATTTTTTTTTGGAAATTCATTCAACTTTGGGAATTATTATTGCAAAACGTTCAGATGCTGCTAATCGGGCCTGTGCTGAATTCCGTAATGAAAATATGCGTAACAATTCTTTTTCTGATTTAGCTAGAGGTATAGCTTTTTCCAGACAATCCAGAGCTTCCTTTAATTTTCCACTGAAATACACAAATATAAATAATATGTACAAACAATTTAATGCTGCTAATAAAAAACACCTAATGCATAATTATTCATATAAACTAATTAAATAAAAAACAATTTCCCCACTCAGCATTGAATAGCAAGAAAAGGGCATTGTGAAAGAAATTATATGTTAACTCTTTTTTAGCCACATCATATATTGAAAAGAAAGGTAATATACTGGTAACAGGTGCAGCCTGTTATAGATAATTTAATGTATACCTGTAAGCAATGATAAACCATTGTTTAAGAAAAAATTTCAGAAGAAGTTCAGTTCATAATGATGCTTTTTCAAAAATAAATATGTAATTTTATAGTTAAATAAATAAATAGACTTAATATATTTTTTTTAATAATATTTGTTTTTGTTGTACGGATTTTTCCAATTTCTCTACATTTCCTTGTTTTCCCATGTTTTATCTCGAATTTTCACATTTGCTGAAAAAACTCTTGAGAAAATCGAAAAATTTTCTTTTAGAAACATATCTATCATTAAATGTCAGAGCAAAATTACTGCTAGAAAAGTTATAAAAGTTGTTCACAGAAAAAAAGGCTTTTTAATATTACATTTTTATTATATGTAACTAGAAGAAATGCAACTAATTATAAAATGTTTTAAAAGCAATGGAATTGTGGTAATATTTATATTTTACGTTTTCCAATTTCAAAATCGTAGAGTTTATCACCCTATTATATAACATTATATATATTATTACATATGCGGCAATATTTATACATTTTTCGTTATCATGTTGTATATTCACGACTTGACAACAGACAAAATAACAAACAAACTAAATAACTTAGTGCAAAAATCCATACTGGATCATGTGAAGAGTGAAACTGAAAAGAGATGCGGGACTTATATTAATACATTTAACAAATATGACTTTGACTAATTTAATACTACTTTCACCTGAAGAAATAACAAAAAGCTAATAAACTTCAAGAATTTTATAACGATGATTTATACAAATTATTCGCTTGTGAATATATTCATTTTCGAGCATTTCTTCAAAGTATAAATAAAAATATTGATGTAGTTATCAATATTCTTATGTGGTAATAATTTAGACACAGTTTTTCCTAACGTAGATATTGCTCTACATATGCTTTTATGTATGGCAATAACTAACTGTTCACCCGAACTCTTTTTCTATATTAAAACGCGTAAAAAATTATTTGAGAGCAAGTATGGAAGAGGATAAACTAAATCCACTGAATTTTTTGGCAATTGAAACTAAGTGAACAAAATGGACTTAGATGCCATAATAGAAGACTTTTCGACTCCAAAGTCGCCCAGAAAGCTGATGAGTACTAGGCATTAACTATTTAATTTTGAATATAATTTAAAAATGAACTGTTTAAACATTTTTTACTACCATGTTTTTTGTCATTATATTTTATAGATTTATTTATTTTATATTTTTTATAATTATTTTTTTATATGAATGTATGCATGCATTTTTATAACATCTGTATATTTTTATTTAACATCATTAAATTTTTAAGTAAAAAAAGAAAAACTATAATTGTATGCTTTAATAACATTTTTTAAACTAGAAAAATATTTATATTAAAAGGCAGCAATTTATATAATACTTAAGGAAACATAATGGTTAAATCACTATGTATATGATACAGATTTGGGTTTTATGATAATGTTTTAATAAGAAATTTCGTATAATAATCTCTCAAATTTTTCTAGTTTGAATGTAAATTGATAAAAACAATTCAAAACTCAATAAATTGAGTTATAATGGTGGTTTTAAATAATCTTATTAAAATCTATATAGTGATAATAAATCAAATAATTTAGTTATAATGTTTTTTTTAACTGTAGCGACATTATTAAAAAAGTTTCAATTCAAAATTAAAACATATCTTAACAGAGTGGTATTGAAATAAAATAATCATCTAAAAATATTATATACATGTGTTTTAATATCTTACGTTTCAATGTAAACTGTTCCAAGTGTTTCATAGGCAAGATAACATTTTGGATCAATGTTTAATGCTTGTCCAAGGAGATTAAATGCATCAGGTATACTATTTTTCCACAATAATGAGTTCAATGCTGAAAAAAAAGCAATTAATTTCCAGTAAGCCAGTTAATGTTATTTATTAATTTAAATATTTTTAAATATTAATAGCAAACAAATGTATAATACAAGCACAAGAAAGTAAACAACAATATTAAGAAGTCAGACTACTTTAATAATAATTATCAGGTAAAAACTTACTAGTTAAAGTAATTAATAAAATATTGATTATTTGGCATTGACATACCCACTCTACTCCAACTATCCCTGTAACTTTACTTTTCACTTACTTTAGTCACAGTTGTCTATGGTGTGATTTGATAATTTATAAACCTTATGAAAATTTTTCTTTTCATTTTAATACAAGACAAAATTGTTTTCAATCAATAAAATTGTGTATATCTATAATCATGATTTGGTACAAATATTTTTTTCAGCATTTTAGATTTGGAATGTAGTAAGGAATCTATTTGTTTTAATATGTTTTTTTTTGGTCTGTAATGTATCAAGTATAGCACCTTTTTGAAAGGAAATTTTGTCTAGTTGGTGCATTAGAGAAGTAATTTTTTTGATTTTCCAAGAGATTTTCAAAATAATTGGGAGAAACCTTAAAAGACCAAAAATGAAAACTGATAAATTTACAGTATTACGATTCCTTTTTTTTAAACTTTTAAGGTATACCTTTTCTACCAGAAATATTGCTCTAATTGTTTTGTTCTATTGTGAATCTAGTTTTAGAGTACAGAAGTCATTTTTTGATTTTTCCCTGTAGTTTTTCAAAAACCGAGCAAAAGGGAAAATACCATAGAAAGAACAAGAAATTTCACCAAAATAGTAGTTTAATTCTTTTCAATTATTTTTATGTCATAAGTCAGTAAAAAATGAGTAAGTTTATATACTTGAAATTTTGACAAAAAACTTACAATTGTTTTTTCTAAGATGATAAACCATTTCAAACTTTGAGCTACTTACACACATTTTAATTTTATGTATTTTTTATATTATTTCTATTTGGTAGGTACTAGGTGGAAAAAATTGTTAGACTGAACAGAAATACTTGAAAATTGAATAGGAAGTTCATTGTAAGTTGTACCTACTTAGTAATTCTTCTCTTTTTTCCTTTGCATATCTACTCTCTGAGGGTGTTGGCCATCACCACAATAGCTGCCTACAATACCTTGTCATGTACTATATCTTTCCAGTTCTTTATACCCAGCCTTACCAAGTCTTCCTCTAATTCTTCCAGCCATATTTTAGTTTGCCTTCTGGTCTCTTCCTTTGAGGTACCTATTAATTTTCTTCTGGACAAATGATATGACCAAGCCATTGTATCCTCTCACCCTACATGAAGTTAGCTATCATTTCTATTTCCAATATGTCCAGTAACTCTCAATTGTATCTCCTTGCCATTCTCCCTAGTGGGCACCTTATATGGGTTCATACATTTTTGTCCATACTTTATTTTCAAATGTCCTTAGCTTTCTTTCAAAAGTGCTAGTTGTTGTCAGTGCTTACATACGTTAGAGATAAACTTATTATATCTACATATACCCTGGCTTTTACTCTGGAGTTGGGAATTTTGTTTTTTCAGTGTTCTTCCAGCGTTTGCCAATTTCTATTGACCAATCGTTAATTGTGTGTTGCACCTAAATACTTGAAATCATCTACCTTTTTGTAAACCAGCCCTACACTACCCTCCAAATCTACCCCACTATTTATAAGTTCCACTATTTTTATTTTATCAGAATTTATCTGTTGTCTGGTCTTACTCGCCTCTGTTTCCAGAATTCTCGCTGCATTGACTATACCTTCCAGTGTCTCTTTCCTTCCTCAGTGAGCGGAAGTACCCTCACTACCGTTTCTATCGCTATATTAAACAGGATTAGAATGTGTGTATTTCATTACTTCAAACCTGATCCTGATGAAGGGCAATGATACTGTATTGTCCACCCTTACCCGATAATGTGTGTCTTTCATGCAAAGCTGAGTTATTTGTATTCGCTTTTGGGAGAGTCCAAACTGAAGCATTATTCTGTACAAGCTGTTCCTGTGAATGCTTTCATACACTCTTCTGAAATCAATAATTAGGTGCCATATATTCTGCTAATATTCATATGTTTTCTCTATGGCCTGTTTTATAACTGATAATTGTTCTAATCTTGATTCTCCCTTTATGAAGCCACATTGATAATTTCAGGCACATTCTTCCACTTATGGGGTGAGGCGTTCTAGTAGAATTCTGCCATATATTTTGGATTTTGTACATAATTAGAAGAAGAAAAAAATTGAGTGTTATGTAGTAATTTTAAAATAGCTTTAACATCTAATTTTGACAAAAATCATAAATAATATGATTTAATCTAATTTTATTAAAACTTGTTTAAACGAACTGATCTCCAAATCGTTTTCCACCATCAATGGTTTAACATTGCATTCTGACATAAATAAAATAACTTTGTGTAGCATTACTTTCCAACTTCAAATGTACAACAGTGGGATACCCATCCTCAGTATCAGCTTTTTTTTTTTCATATTTCCTCCAGTTACCACTCATTTTCATAGCAAATTCATAGCAAAGTTCTCTGTTATGTCCATGTTTTCTAGGTAGTGCGACACTATCTACCCTAACCCTGAAATTTTTACATTCAAAAAACACAAGATTACCTCTTTGTACTAGAAAAGTAGCATTGTCTGGATGAATTTCATGGGCTTTTTTGAACAATAAATCTGCTTCTTCATAAGCTTTTTCTTCTGACAGAGCCTTTATAAACATAAATAGACACATTTTAATTTTAAAATCTACACTATTTTATAATATATTTTTCTACCAGGGCATATAGTCTAAAACTTTCATCAATATCTGGGTATTTATTTGAAAATACTTTCAATTTTTTCAAGAATTTTTCTACATCCAATTCATTTGATACACTTTTGGCATGTTGGTATCGAGCAAAATAATAATGAACATTATACAATACAAACTTAGAATTCAATTCCACTGCTTTTTTGAAATCTTCAACCGCTTTCTCAGTGTACATTTCATTTAAACAAATCTAAAAAAAATTAATGATTTTTGTTACTACAGTAGGAATTTTTAAGTTTTTTCTTATGCTCTGTATATTACTTGAGCTCTGTGATAATATACTGCAGAACTGTTGGGATCAATAGCTTCAGCCAAGTTGAAATCCTCAATACATTTGTCAACTTCTTCTTGTTGGTGATAACCAGATGCTCGTTTTATTAAAGAATTTATAATTAACTATCAAAAATATAACTACATTAATAAAATAAAAAAAAAAAAAAATAAAAAAAAAATTGAAATAAAGTTGATAATATTTAACCATGTATAAACAAACTTTAATATTAATTGGAAAAAAAATATGCTGAAAACTCCCTATAACTTAGAAAGATTTAATTATTTAGTTCGTTTTCTCCCCTTAAATGTCTACATCAAAAAAAAATTATATATATATATATACACATAAATATATTCTACTCACTATTTAAGGAAACAAAACTATAAAAAAAAAAACTTAAAAAAACAGTGAACATTTTTTTTGTACCTATTCCCTTATTCACAAAAATCATATCTGCATAACTGCTGATTTTAAAGTACCGCTCTTAATTTTAATTTCTCATGTAAATTGCTCAATCTGGACATTTGTTTATTAGTTCAACTGAATAAAATAAGAAAACCAAGTAATAGCATATAATGATTTATGGAAGTATATTTGTCAATCAGTATGCCATGGACTCTAATATTAAAATAAGGTATCAAATTTCCGAATTGGTTAAATTAAGTATTTTATCAATTTTACACGTTATCAATAAAAGTTGTTATGTTTTTTGTGTTGTAATTGCTCTATCATAATTTGTATTGATAATAATATATATTTTAATAATCTTAATTACCAATAAATATATAAACTTTAATATTATACCTTGTTAGGAACATTTAGATTTTCGATGACAGTAGTAAGATGTTCAATGCCAGCAACAATATTCCCACGCAGTATACAAAAAGTAGCTAATAAGTTTAATGCCAAACTTCTACGAATCAAACTATTATCAGTTTTCTTTAATTCTTCTTGACACGCATTTTCTATGTTTTCGTAATTTTGATTCTGAATACATTTTATTGCATACTCCAAACCTGTACTAAATTAATTAATACATACATTGTATTATATATTTATCATATGTAATAAAAACTATTTATTTATTTTTAAATGATAATAAATGCATATTATGATTTATATTAAATACTATTTACTTTATGTCTGATTTTAATAATGTCAGTGCAAATTCTTCAGAAAATGGATCATCACAGAAAGATTTCAAATAATTATCAATAAACGTTTTTGATGGAAANTAATATCTTCTAAAGCGAGTTTAAAGTTGCCTAATTCTGAAAGTACTCTGGCTCTTTGGGATAATGCTTTTTTGTATGTTGGTACCAAAGCCAGGGCATTGTTACAATCAGCCAAGCAATTTTCATTATCATTCTGAAAGTATAATATAAGCAATAACTACCATTGTTATAATCTATATTTAAAGAAAAACCAGTTTTTTCTTGTCAAAACTGACCAAAGTCATTAATTTACCTACCAATTTATCATAAGCAGCAGCTCGATTTTGAAACAGAATTGATAAAACTATTGCCTCTGCTTCTGTACATATTGATATGGCTAGCGTATAATGTATGATGGCCATTAAATAATTTCCTTTTGAAAATTCTGCATTTCCGTGTTTTTTTAAATCTTTGACCTCTTCTATTGGTGTCTGTCGAAAAAATACCAATATACTAGGTAGGAACTTATAATGTATATTTAAAATATACTATTTTATGGGAATCGTTTTCACTTTTGTTTAACTAATTTAGATTCTTTAAATAAAAAACTGGGTATACCAACCTTTTTTTTGAAGTTTTGAACGTTTCTCTGTAAATCGAACGACGATCCGCTGGAATCAGACATTGCGTACGTTACACGGAAAACCAATGTTAATAAAGGATTAGCGTGGTACAGGAATTCTATCGCGGAACGATGACTGATTGAGTCTTTCACAATTAACAGTTATATATGTAATATAAAAAACAAGTCCGGATAACTTAATAGCCGAATCTAAAACACAATACACGTCGGTATACGTGTAGTTCAAAGTTGTCAGGAAAATGAAAAAATCAATATAACTACAGCTGCCCTCAGTAATACCAATATCGAAAAGATAAAATTCAAATCAAAATGTAGTTACACCAATAATATGGAAAAAATATTGTTTTAATTATTTTATATATGTATTTGTGATATTCGTGGAATTTATATGTTCAACCCTAAAATAGATTACCTATAAATCGATGGAATTTACAATCACTACCTTTATGAATAATCATACCGTGATATTTCTTCTTGTACATATTTTATTTTTTCTCATGTATGAACTCATATTTTAAACTACATTTGTCCGCATTTGTCGGCTTTGGCGGACAAATGTAGTTTAAAATATGAGTTCATAAGCCATTATTTCTAATTTTTTGCATACAAAGACAGTCAAATAGATTAATGCAAATGTTTTATATGTAAATTCAGATAAAAATTACTGTTAAATTTTGAATAAAATTGAATGCATTTAATTTTAAGATATATTGTTACAATATTATTCAATCTTATCGTCAGATAGTTTGTGTTCTAATAAATCTAATACTTAATAATTTTAAATATAATTGGCAACCAATAATCATAAACTAAAGGTATGTATTAAGAATTTTCTAATTTTAGATTAATTAATGTTGTAATGATTGGTTTATTGGCGTTGGGAAAGTGGCGTCCCTATCGCCCAGTGCCCTTCATTGGATGCTGCAATAGCCCCACC